CCCCGTCGCTGCACATGTTGCGGTCCGTCTCGTTGCATTCGCCGCATAGGGCCGCCACCTCCTGAGATGGGCCATGATATGGGCTTCCAGCTGCAGTCCCAGCCCCCAGCGTTAGTTCCGAGTTCAGGTTTATTTCCGGCAGGACACTGGATAGGGATCTCTGCTGATCTAGCTGGGCGTGCAGGCTGTGCCTGTCCTGCATGACCTGTTGCAGTCGACGCTCGTATGCCGTCGTCACTCGTGTGGTCTCCATAAATTTGGTGGTGCCCTCTTCGGCCTCTCGACTGATGTCCGGGAAATTGAACTGATTCTGCAGATCCTTGCGCATCGGCGACGAGGGTTGGCTGGAGGGAAAAATGGCCCGTACGGCATGGGAATTGGCCATGGCCAGGCCATGCTGCGGCTGTTTCAACTCCCTCAGGTCTTTCAGAGGCGTTGTCTCCGGCGTGGCCTCCACAGCAGCCTCTGGGGGCGAGGAGCCCGTCATTCCGATCAACAACTGGGAGTTCATCGATGGCTGCAGCGGCAATATAAACGATGTGGTGGGCGTCAGAGGGATGGCACTGCTGGTGGCGAGAATTTCATTTTGTGGACTCCAAATGGCCCCCACCTCCCCTGAAGCCGACGAGTCGAAGCGTGTGATGGAATTTCGACTGTAGTGGAAGTCCCTCCCCAGTTGGAAGGGAAATCCCTCGGTGTTCGAGGTGTTTGAGGTCATCCGGCTATAGCCTGGAGTCATGGGATACGCATAGCTGTTGTCGTCGTTGCTCGACTCGGGCTGGAGGACCGGCAGCGACAGATTGGCACACTCCATGACCACGTCATGGGGCTCCATTTCCTTCCATCGCGTATTATTGACCTCAGTCTCGGGAGTGTCGGTCAGCAGCATAGGATGCACACGGACCGTGTTCAGCAATGGCTTAATCGTATGCTGAAATACGCCGCCGCCATTGCCCTTCTTGATGAACTCTGCCAAGAAGGCCATAAAGGTGTTGGGATACATGCCGTACAGCCGATGGAACAGCATTTGCAGCCCCAACTGCAGATGGACAAGCTTCTCGTCGGGCAGACTCTTGCTGTTCTGCAGCTTCCACGAGGCCAGGTGGCCAAATACCTCGAACAGATAGTTGAAGAAATTCGGCATCGAATTAGGTATAATTGGCAGCAACGTAATGATGCACAACAGGGCGCTCATCAGGGGCACAATCTCCTTCTCGTGCTGCAATAGGAGTGCATTCAATATATCAGAATATCCGAAGAATGCAAATGGCTCACAGTTTACTCACCGTAAGCAGATTGAAGACGGTTTTGATAAGCCGATGACTTTCTATTTTGTACAGCCAGGTTGGATGGTGTCGGACGATGAAGCAGAATACCTGCAAGCCCTGCACTCGGTGCTGTGGCTTGTTCAGGCACGCGTCCAGGCGATCGAAGATGTAGCTATCGTGCGGCTTCTGGGCCTTGACCAGGACGTCCAGGATGCGTTGAGATCCAGTTTTGAAGAAATAGTCCAGCATAAAGTTCACAGCCCACGTTTCCTTATCTAACAAATGGCAAAAAAATGGTAACAATTTTCATGTAAATTAAAGCCTGCCGTGCACTCACTCTGCGTGAAAAGCTCCACAAGTTTCTTCTTGGCTTCCTCATTTTCGAGCGTCTGATTCGATTCCAAGTCGTGGAATATCTTTTCAAAGTCCATGGTGGAGTGTATTCGGTGCAACTTCTACCTGCGCTCGTGTTTTGATTTTTAGTTGTGATTGATTTTTTCGGCCTTCTCCACTGCTCAGCTCCTCTGCGGCGTATTGGCCGTGCTCCACCTAAAAGTATTCCTGCTGCTGATTGTGCTCCACTGCCTGGATGATGGGCGCTGCACTCGTCCACTCACTCCAAGAAACCAATTGTCGTCGTCGTCGTCGTCGTCGTCGTCGTCGTGGTTGTCGTTTGCAGAGCTGCGTGTGCTTTTTCTCTTCTTCGTCGTTGTCAACTGATTAACAAGCGTTTGCATAAAAACTTTTGCACAGTTTGACGCACCACACACTGCTAGTGGCCATGGTCGAAGTCTTGATTCACTTACCTCTGCTAGTCTCATCTTTTTTACATGTTTGTCTTTAAAAAATGTAAAGGTTTCGCGTTTTTCTATTATTTGGCCAATCGGGTTCTATCTCTCTCGATTTTTTTAATAGATTCCAGCTGTTCGCCATCGATATGTTATCGAATTCCGTATTTACAAATATTTACGATTGTTTTTAATGGATTTAAAAAATCGATACTATCGATAGTATCATTAATATTAAAAATCTTTTAATGGCTATTTTTCAAGCGAAATTAAATACAAATTGTTCAAAATTAAACTTAATTAAACTTAAAAACTATGAAATGTTCGCTCTGAATAGAGACAAAATGGCGAAGCGACCGCTAGTAGCTCGATAGCACAACCATCGATACTATCGATAGCGCCATCAATGGTTTGACACCTATATTTACAAAATGAATTATTTAATAATCCGGCGACTGTCCACGCAGCCGAAATTAGCGCAGATTCCCAAACGGTATGAACGAAAGTATTACCAATTAAAGCTAGTTATAACTTTGCTTGGCACTGCAGATGGAAAAGCGTTGTGGGATTGGAGGTGCACGCACAAATTTCCAGCGCCTCAAAATTGTTCTCCGGCAGCGGCACACATTTCGGATCGGCCCTAAACACATCGGTTGCTTATTTCGATGCATCCATACCAGGCACACTGCCGGTGAGGACAACTATATATAGTACTGTAGTGTTCTGTAGTAAAAATATTCTTTCCTTCTCCAGGTGCTCAATCGAAAGTGCGTCGAGTCTGGAATAAAAGCCGCACTGGCCCTTGGCTGCCAGGTGAATGAAGTATCCATGTTTGATCGCAAGCATTACTTCTATGCTGATTTGCCAGTAAGTAGATTGATTTCTCACAACTTTTCTTTGTAATTACCCTTTTCGGGGTCTTCCAGAATGGCTATCAGATCACACAGCAGCGTGCGGCTTTGGCAAACAATGGCAAAATGACTTTTCCCGTGATAACACCTGGCAAAAAGGTGTACTACAAGTCTGTTCAATTGCTGCAACTCCAATTGGAGCAGGACAGTGGCAAATCACTGCACGATGAGCAGCTCAAGAGAAGTTTAGTGGATCTGAATCGCGCCGGCCTGCCACTGATGGAGCTGGTATTTGCCCCAGATCTAGAGACTGGCGAGGAGGCAGCATCGTTGGTCAAGGAACTGATGCTGATACTAAAGCGTCTGCAGACCTGCAGCTGCAAAATGGAAGGTAGCTGCTACTAGCTCCTACTCCGCATATAAAATGGTTTCAAAATTATTTCTAACCCTTTTCAGAGGGTGCTCTGCGTGTGGATGCGAATATATCCATTCACCAGGAAGGCGATCCACTGGGTGTACGAACTGAAGTCAAGAATATTGGCTCGGTCCGCAGCATTTCTCAGGCAATTACCTTCGAAATACATAGACAGCTCGAGGCAGTGGCCCAGGGAGGTGTCATAACCAATGAGACACGCTCCTGGGATGCGGAAAACAGACGCACTGTGGCCATGCGTGACAAGGAAGTGCTGCAAGATTATCGCTTCATGCCAGAACCAAATCTACCGCCGCTGCATCTAAACCTCAAACCTGGCTCCAAGTCAACAGAGGATCTCGTGTCTGTGGCAGCTCTAAGCGAAGAAATCCCCGAACTGCCAGAAGATACTCGCCAACGTTTAATGGAACAGTACCAGCTGAATGCGGAGACCGCCATTATTTTGGTGGTAAGTGAACGAAAACATCGAATTGTGCTCGCGAAACCTTTTAAAACAGTTGACTATTTCCAGAACGAACCCATTCTGTTGGATTATTTCTTGAAAATATCGAAGGATCTCAGTGATGTGCCCACAAAAGTCACCTCAAACTTTCTCATCAATGACCTGCTAACTTATTGCAATAAATCTAACTTGGATATTGAAGACTGGTAGGTTAAAGCAAAGACTATATGATACCAAGATGTTGAGTCAGGAGCCAATTTCATTTCAATATTCGTTCGCTGCCTCGTGGTACGTGCGCGCCGGTTTCTGGTACTTCAATTATCTCTTGTGCTGTCCGACCGCTGCCAACTAGACTTCGTCTGTTTCTGAATGCCTCAGGAAGCTGAGCTGAAAATGCTGGCAATGCGCAAAAGTCGATCCCAAAAAACCAAAAACAAAAGACGTTGCTACAGCAAACTGAAACCAAACGCTCGCACTATGTCTACGGGGCATTTTGGTTTTTTGGTGCTATGTAAAACATCTTGGTAATTGTATAGTTTTTGGTTAAAGGAAATGAGGCTTAAAGAACACTATTTTATGTTGCATATGATTTGCTTAGTTCCATAACAGATAGTGATCTAAAGAACATTGTCAAGGGCCTGCACTCTGAACAGATTAATCTTCAGGCAGCCCGCCAGCTCATACAACTGCTGCACACAAATCCCACAGCAAAGGTGAATGAGGTGAGTCCCTGAACGCCCCCTTTCATACAAACCCTAATCTTTGATCCTCTCGCCAGCTCATTAAGCAGCACAGTCTGGAGCAGATATGCGATCTGGAAACCATCGAAGCCTTATGCCAGCAGGCCATTTCCAACCAGCCCAAGGCCGTGCTGCAGTACCACAAAGGCAAGGCCAAGGCACTGTTTGCTATCGTCGGGGAGGTGGCCAAGATCTCTGGGCAAAAGGCAAACATGAAGAGTGTCGTAGAGTGCCTGGAGAAGATGCTGAAAGCCGCAAAGAAGTGAGGCAGTTTGTGTTCAATAGATGTGTATTTCTCTTGTATATAGATTATAAAACATGCAGTCGTTTGCAGTCCGCACTGTATATAGGTTTAGATATGCTAGGGATTAAATATGTTTTGCCTTGTATTGTGCTGACTAGTTTCGGTGTTTTATAGAAATGCGAATGATGTAAATTATCGTGTGATATTGTTTCGGTTCGGCGTTCTCCCTGGCTCCTGGGAGAATCGGAACTTGTGACCCTGTGAGTGTATACGATAGTAGGATCGGCCCAAAATGCGATTTGGATGGTAAATGGGACGCACTATATTCGATTGTCTATCGGGGCAGACAATCAATAGCTAGAATTGTACTAAATGCGGTTTATGATTTTCAACACAAATGCGACTAGAGCACCCTTAGGGCATGGATGGTTGGGGGGGTGGTGTTTGTGGTTGTGGTTGTGGTTTTGGTTTTGGTACTCCTAGGAAGCGTCTCTAAGTAAATGCAAATGGCAGTGAGCATTACAGTACACCATCTTGGCGGGATCAAGTTCAACCCTAAAGGAAATCCTCTCTAATCGCGATCGTAATCCCGACAGGTCGACGGAGGTAGGCTCATCGAAACAGCCGAATCGAGACTGCAAAAAAAAAGAGTATAAAAAAAACGTATGACCGTGAAGAGATTCCAGCTGGATCCTCACCGTCGGCTCTCGCTTTCCAGCAGATGAGCATCCACTGGATGCTGGGAGACATTGCGCAGAGAGTCCCCCAGAGTACTACGCAGATGCTGCATCTCCCGATTCGCCTTCGAACTGCGCAGCACATACTGCTGCCGCCGCTTGGCCTCCTGCGCCAGCTGTTCCCTCAGCATCGAGATCTATGGAGAAGGATATCCCAAGTAAGTGGATAGTTCAGTTTGACCACGGTTTGACACCCACCTGATTCTCCAGTCGCAGCACTTGCTGTCTGTGGGACTGCTCGCGTACATCCAGCACCTTTTCGGCATGCATTTGGGCACTGCGATAGCGCTCCGTGTCCATGCCATCCATACACTTGGCGCTGTCGTTCATGCGCGCCTTCACCCGCGCCAACTCGGACTCCTTCTCTGCCAGCAGGGTCTCCAGGCGTCGCACCTTGAGACGCAGGTCGCGGGTCTCCTGCTCGATCACACTGTGATCGAGACCACAGCTGTAGGAGCCACCACCTGCTCCACCTGTGCCTCCCGCATCATAGCGATTCGAGTCGAATTCCCCTGAATCTGCGGGCCCACCCCCACCACCATAGTAGGAATTGGATTTCTCTGCACGATCGTAGGCACTGCCGCCCGAGAATTTGCTCTTTCGCTCGCATTCCAATTGCTTGACTTTATCCTGGAATGGAATCAGAAAAGCTAAAGAACAGGGAGGGGTGTAAAGATCATACGGAAACCCACCTGAAGTGTCTGCAGTTTGCTACGAAGCTCGGACTTCTCCCTCTGGGAGGATTTCAGCTGCCTGCTGAGCTCTTCCTCGCCGCCAGCGCCGTTGCCATTGCCATTGCTCAGACCCTTGTCGCCGCCGGACTCCTGATTCCACTTGGCAATCCTCAGCTGCGACTCGAGAGCCGATCGTTGGACCTCCAGATCGGTGACCTGATCCTGCAGCCGCTGGTTGCCATCGAGTTGCGCCTGCTGGCTGCGTCGCAGCTCGTTCAGATTCGTTTGGGAGCTGTCCAGGCGTTCGGTGAGAATGCGCTTCTCATTCTCGGCGGTCTGTAGGGATTTCTGAAGCAGCTTCAGCTTGTCTTCGTTGGCCTGTGAGCAGTGTCCCTGCTCGGAGAGCTCCTTCTGCAGGGTCTTGATCTCGCCCCGGAGTTGGGTCTCGCTGACGGCGGACTTCTGGAGGCGTTCCTTCAGCTGATCCACGGTGGACTTGAGAGAGGTGCAGCGATCCTCCAGCTGGGTCAGGGCACGGTTCTGGTTCTCCAGTCGCTCGGATAGCTGGCGAATGCTGCAGTCCTTCTCCTGGAGGGCCATCTGCAGGCGTGTGAGATCCCCCTCCATGGCCACCCGCTGGAGATCCAGCTTGCTGGCGCGTCCTTCAACCTTGGCGAGTTCTTCCTGCAGCTGTCGCTTCTCGTTGTCCAGCTTGGAGCACTGCTGGCGGCACTTCTCCAGCCGCTCCTCGTTCTGGCCATTCTCCTCGGATGTGGCCGCCAGCTGCATCTCCGTTTGGGCCAAACGCTCGCGCAGCATCTGGCACTCGTCGCTGCGCTGCTTGAGCTTCTCCTCCAGGGCATAGATGGCTGAGATCTTCATCTTGCGCTCCGTCTCCAGGTTGCTCTTCTCCTCCTGCAGGTTCCGGAGCATGGCCTGGAGTTTGCTTAGCTTCGCATCGCAGCGCAGCTGCTGCTCGGCCGCATCCTGGAGCTGCTTCTTGGCGGCCCCCAGCTGTGACTTGTAGTCATCCTTCTCCCTCTCCTGTTGGGCCACCTGATGCATGAGATTCCGCACGCCCTTCCGCACCAGGTCTGGATCCACATCGATCGGTGCATCCGGGCACTGGGAGGAGCTCCTGGCATCGTAGTCGCCCACACTGCGTGATGGACTGAACCGCCTGGAAGGACTGAGCAGGCGATGCGAGAGATTCACACTGCCGTCCACTTGGATGCCGGCGATCCGGCGGAGCGTGTGCACCACGGATGAGAGCTTCTGCTCGGTGTCCCGCTTGTGCAGCTCCACGCAGGAGAGCTGCTCGTCCAGGGCGCGGATGCGGCCCTCAGCACCGCCCAAACGGGCCTTCAGCTCCTGGATCTGCTGCGTGGCATCGGCCAGGCAGACCTCCAGATTGTGCTTCTGATCCTCGAGACGCTTCTCCCGCCCGCGGGCCTCCTCCATGCGCTGGGCCACCTCCTGTTCGCGGGCATGGAAGCGGTGCTCCTCCTGGTTGCTGTGGCACCGGGCACGGGCCAGCTCCTGGCGCGTGGCGCAGAGGTTCGCCTCCAGATCGGAGAGCTGCTTTTTGATCTGGCACAGCTCCTGCTGGGCGCGCTCCTTCAGCTCCACCTCGGCCACCAGCTTGCACTGCAGCTCCTTGCCACCCTCGTCCTTCTGGGCGAACTCCACCTGGGCCTTCTGCAGCGACGCTTTCGTGGCATTCAGCTCCTGCGTGGTCTTGGTGAAGTGATTCTCCGTCTCCTTCAGAATGGTACTCAAGCGAGTGCGTTCGTTCTCTAGGGAGTTCTTGGAATCCTCCAGACTGCTGATCTTCTGCAACGCCTCCTCAATGGCGCGGGCCTGCTCCCGCTTGGCGCTCTCCACGCGCTTCACATGATCGCGCAGCTCCTTGTTGCTGTTGGAGTACTTGTCCCGCTCAATGTTGCTGTCCGCCAGCTGCCGGCGACTGTCCGTCAACTCCTTTCGCAAGCTGTCTATGAAGCCCTCGCCTGCAGCACAGAATCTATGAATACAGGATCATCAGAAGAACAATTGAACAATACCTTCTTTGGTCTTGCGCAGTGCATCCTGCAGTTCGTTATTGGTGCCGTCCATCTTGTCCTCCTTCAGCCGGATCTCCATCTTCAGCTCCTCGCTCACGCGGCACAGAGTGTCGCGTTCTTCCCGAATGCTGCACAGCTGCAGTTCTTGCTTGCGAATGCATTCCTCCAGTTTGATTCTATTTGCAGGGTGGAAAGATGAAATTTATATCATATATATTTATACGATTAAGAGATCGGAGTCAAAAAGTTAAAAACCACTTGAATTCGATCTTCTACGTCAATCCCCTATCCTTTAGGGATAGGTCTTTGCAGTACTCACTGGTGCTCCTCATCCCTGGTGCGCATTTGTACCATCTCATCTTTGAGTTGGGCAATGGCCGCCCTTTGCTTCTCGTCGCGGGCATTGGCCTCCCGTTTGCTGCGATCCAGGGACTCCTGTTCGGTCTTCAGATCCCGGGAGACGGTCTCCAGGCGCTCGGCCACCGCCTGCTTGTCGCGATGGGCAATGAGCAGTGCCTGCTGCTTCTCGCTCTCGGCCCGGATTAGGGCCTCTTCATGCTGCTGGACAAGGCTCTCGATATGCGCCTGGAGCGTGGCAAGACGCTCCTGCAGCTTCTCGATCTCATCGTCCTTGGCGGTCTGGAGGGCCTGCAGAGCCTGCTGCATACGCTTTTCGAGTGCATTGCGCAGCTGTAGCACCTCGTCGCCATGTCGCTTGGCAGCGTCTTCGCCGGCCGCCTGGAGATTGGCGATCTTCTGGTTGAAATCACTCTCGGCGGCGCGGGCGGCATTGAGGAGCTGCGTCTTGGTCTCCTGGGCCTTGCGCTGGCACATCTCCAGGTCCTTCTGCAGGCGGGCCACATGGTTCTTCAGCGACTCCTCACGGACCAGTGCCTCCTGGAGATCACGTTCCAGTTGGCTGCGCTTCTCTTCGGTGGCCTCCAGCGAGGTGTTTGTGTCAAAGAGCACCGATTCGAGGGACTCCTTCTCGGAGCGGATGGCGGCCAGGAGTTCGTTGAGGCGATGTGAGTCCTTTTCGTGCAGATCAATCACCACCTGCTTCTCCTCCACATCCTTGACCATCTCCTCGAGGTTACGATTGAGGCGGCTGTTCGTCTCTGTCGTCTGTTCGAGTCGCTGCCGCGTGCGCATCAGCTCCTCGTTGAGGGCCTCTTTCTTGCGGCACATGGCCGTAAGCTGGTTGTGGATGTCGCCCCGATCTCTTGTGACGCAGGCCAAGTCCTGCAGGATCTTCTCCTTCTCCAGCTGCAGGCACTTCAGCTTCTCGCTGTACGAGAGATTGTCCGTCTCCAGCTCCAGGCGCGCCTTGTCCAGCACGGCCAGTTCCTTCTTCAGCTCCCCGATCTCATTCGATTGATCGCCGGACTGGAGGCGCAGCTTCTTGCGCTCCTCCTGAGCCTCCATCAGGCAGTTCTGCACGGACTTCAGCTCGTCGCTGGTGGAGCAGCTGTTGCTGGACAGCTTCTCGTGCTTCTCCTGCAAATCGCACTTCTCCATCAGCAATTTATCGAGATCATACTCCAGGTCCGACTTCTGTTTCTCCAGCAGACAAATCAGGTTGTCCGACTCGATCCGCTGCTGCTCCAACAAATCCCGGTTCAGACTCACGCGATTGAGCTCCTCGCGCAGCGAGATGGTCTCCTCCCTCAAGCGACTGCTTCGATCCTCCTCGGATCTGTTCAAATTTCAGAGGTCTATGTGACTACACTATGTATCTTATCTATTTAATGACATATGTACCTCAGATTCAGTTCGGTTATATTCTTGTCTTTCAGTATCCGCTGTATCTCCAGCTCCACGGCCTTCTTGTCCTCCTCCATGGAGTCGAGGCGCTTCTGTAGTTTTCCATAGTTCAGCTGCAGCTTCTCGTACTCCCCGCTGAGACTCTCAAACTAAAGGAAAAAAGGTTGTTATACAGATCCAATACAGATCAATATTATTATGGAATACTACTTTTTGTTGGCTATTTTTAGGGCGAGCAAATATGCACGTTTTCGCTTTACTCGGCTTTATTTTGTGCTGTGTATGCAGCTTTACCTTCAAAGCCAGACAGCCCTATTAAATAACACTTAAATTTCTTTCTATATATTTCATTAGCTATCTGTTAAGTCTGCTTATGGGTCTATCAATTCATCTCTATATTGTACATGTCTACCTACATATAGATCGATGTCAAGTTTGCTTATACTATAGACGTCTCGTATAAGCAGATCTATCAGGTAGAACCCAAAATATATTTCTATATAATCTATTCCTAAATAAATCTATGTATGGATGGATATATATTGCCTGTCTTTATTTTCTAACTATATTTTTTCTATGCATTGTACCATATCTATATGTATCTGTGAATATATCATTCTCATCTATATATACATTTTTCGAAAATATTTTTCATTTAAATATTGCTCGTAATTATATTAATTTATTTAAATATGTTAGGTGCAGCTCTTACAGTACTTTAGCAACCTATTAACGAGCATCTACCACATATCTATTTATCGATCCTATCGTTTCCTATCCACGAAACTCAATCTAGCTATCCTCCTATATACCAATTTTTCCTGTAGAAACTTATTTCTATAGCTATCCTCTTTTATACCATTTTTCTATCTTCCCTTCGTTTTATATTCATACCTACAATCTACATATATTCCTTTCTATCCAACCTATCCATCTATCGATATATCTATCCATCTACCTGTCTATATATCTATCTATCTCTTCCTATATAGCTATCTTAAGCTATCTTATAGCTATCTTCATAGAGCACCTCCCCAAAAGCGTCTACGTTTTCAACCGTTCCCGAGTGCATGTGACCTCATCCCGGAGTTAAATGTGTAAAAAATATAGATCAACAGAAATTTCACTTGGAAACATTTGTAGAATCTATGGGTTGATCTGAGATCAGACTTTTCGAGTTATCTCTCATCCGACTGTGACTATCTGTGGCTCTGACACCCACTCACCGCGTTATTGATATCAGCGCGTCCCATCTCCGACTGCTGTTTCTGGGTGCGGACATCGTCGAGGCTCTTCTGGAGGCTGTCACGCTCCTGCAGGAGCTCCGAGAGCTTGGAGTTGCTCGAGTCCAGCTTCTCGGTGAGCTGCTGCATCTTGGTGGTTAGGAGCTGCTTGGTGCCCTCGCTGGTGTCCAGCTGGGACTTGGTGGAGCGCAGCGTCTCGCTGGTGTGCTGGAACTTCACCTGGATGTCGTGGAGGGCCAGCTGGTACTTGTGGAGGGCCGCCTGGACGGCGGAGATGGTGCCCTCGGCGAAGGCCTGGGAGGCTCGGGTCGAATTGCGACGCGGAGATTTGCCACCGCCACCGGCAGTGCCGGTACCGGTGCCGGTGCCAGCCGCGGAGGCGGCATCACGCGTCAGATGCATGTGCTGCATGGCCCCGCCGGTGACCTCAGCGTCTGCCTCGCGATCCGCATTCTCGGCATCTTGAACGACGGCTTGCGCAATCTCGCGCATGGAATTGTTCAGCCGCTCGATCTCGTCGCTGTAGCGGCTGGCCAGCGCCGCCTGGGACTCGGCCTGGCCGCACCGATCCTCCAGCTTCTTCAGCTGATTCATCAGCTCGAGCAGCCGCTGATCACGCTCCATGATCTCGTGCCGCGCACTCTCGTACTGGACCTTGAGAGTGGCCAGCTGATGCTGCAGTTCGTCGCTGATGCGATGGGACTGCTTTATCTCCTCGTCGGCCGCCCGCTTGGCCTGCTGCTGGGTGAAGGCCACCGAGGCAGTGCACCCATTGATGTCCTTGCCCACGCAGCTAATCTCCTGGCCCATCTTGGCCACCTCCTGCTTCATGGCCGATTGCATTTCCTTGAAGGAGCGCTTCACGGCCACCACCTCGCGCCACATCTTCAGCAGGCGATTGTGCTCGCTGTTGTAGTAGTCCTTGAAGGCCTGCTCCTCCTCCTTGAACTCATCCTCCTTGATGAGCAGCTCGTCCCTCAGCCCCGACCAGTCGTTGGTCAGCTTCTGCAGATCGTTGGTCAGCGCCTCGTTCGTGCGATTGGACTCCTCCAGCTGCTGCCGCAAGGCATTGTTCTGGGCCAGGATCTGCTCGCAGCGTAGATGCTCCTCCTCCAACTTCCGGCAGAGCTCGCTGGTGCCGTCCTCATGGCCATAGTCCCGACTGCAGCTGGGCGGTGGTGAGTCCAGAGAGGAGCTGCAGGGCAGGCTGTTCTGGCCGCCAAGGGTCAAGGATGTAGAGCACTGTCAAAGGATACAAATTAGATGGTTATAGGTTGCTTCCTCCAATCCGATACTCACCAAGACCTGACTGGTGGTGGGTCCTGTCGTCAGCTTGGGTCCTGCCGCCATCGTCGGCTTGATGGTCTCGTGCATGCGATCCTCCAGATCGCTGCATCGCTGTCTGTACTGCTGGATCTTGGACTGGAGGCGGCTCACGAGATTCGCCTGATTGTGCTGCGCCTGCTTGTAGGTGTCCAGGCGTCGCCGATAGCTGTGCGATTCGTCCGCCAGGCGTTGCCGCAGCTCCTGGTTCTGACGCAGCAGCGCAGTGGAGGACTCTCCGGCCCCCGCTGTGGGCTGGGGCCCGGGGCTCATCATTCTGGGTGTAAGGATGCCTGAGCCACTGGCCGATGGGTCTCGGTCACGCCCCCGCTGGTGGCGCGAGAAGGGCAGGCGCGTGGAGGCGTTGGAGGAAGGTGGATGTGGGGGTGGTGCCGCGGCCGACGACGATGACGCCGCCTGAAGGTCGACGGCCGATGGGCAGGGCGTTTGCTTGAAGTTATCGCGATACGCCTGCATCTGTGGATTGGGAGCGAAAACTGATTTCAATTCTGGGATTCCTTTCCGGTTAGAAATTGCTTTGCGGTTTCGCGTTGCGTGTGCATTAGGGGGAAAACTTTTTCCCAAACGAAACTTTCGCGCCTCAATAAGTTTCCCCAAATTGATTTATTAACTTGTTCCGGGGCGCCACGAGCCATGAGCCATGAGCCACGACCCTGCCGTGCCGTGCCACACACACATTGCCATGTTCCCAGACCCCGGGAAAGGGGTCACCATGACAGCCCCCAAAAAGGAGGCGGCCGAGGATTCCTCGCAAATAAACAAGTTCCAGGAACCCAGCCCCCAGGCCCCCCTCATTATGATGGAACGATCCATACAATCCGAATGATATTTCTGAAATCCACTTGAGGACACGCATTGTACCGTCTGTCACCAGGACAGCGAGTGTTTTGTGTTTACTGTCGCTCCCCTGCAAGGACCCTGCCAACCTCCCCCACTCCTCGTTCTCCCATTAAGGAGTCGCATCATAATTCCGTGTCCTCGTATTTATTTTAATAAACAATATTTCCTTCGTTGTTGAAACTTCTTTTGACACGAATGCGTCTTCTAATTTTGAGCTTCTTATGCTGTGCCCTCTGACCCCATCTCCATCCCCATGCCACCCCCACCCTACTCTCGGTACCACCAATGACATTTATGCAAACAGTAAAAACAAAATAACATTTCGACTATGATTTGGCATGCAATCGCTGAACAGATTGGCAGGACTTTCTATTTTAGTTCTAATCGAAGATAGAGAGATACTTGCACGAGTGGCTATAATGGCTATATTTTAATGGAGCTCGTGAATCGTTCATAAATATATTCCTACTTTTTTTATAAGTGGAGCTGGAAGACTTTATGTTCAATCGATGGAACAGATAGTAGAGATTATTACTGGGAAAAAACATCAGAAAAGGAATGCATCGCTTTTTTTTTACAAATTAATCTTAAATATTCGAATGACTGTGTCTTTAGATATTGTCTATCAAATGAATTTTGTTTAAATTTTGTATTGTTAAATAGGAAAAAGAGATTCTTGATTCACGATCCCGTGACGATGCTAGGAAAAGAACACTGGACTGTCAAAGGTCCATTCGATTTGGACCATCCTTTTGGCAGCCATGGATTCTGCGAGTGCCAATCCAGTTCGAGAGAAGGGTAGAAAGCTTGAATCCCTTCAGGATCTTGAATTTGGGCCCTGAGGCAACGTTGCAGGAGATCCAAAAGGCCTACCACAAAGTCAACATGGTGCTGCATCCAGATAACATTAACTATTCGTTTAATATTCAGTTTAGTATAATTGTCACGCGTTATGCAGCAGAACCCCTCGGTTGGTATCGCTGAGGCCACTTCATG